CTTCCCTTCAGTTACCACCTTTATATGTTCATGTAGCATCTCACTTTTCCCTACCCCCCTGGGAAGTTCCAGCTGTTCGGGTCTGTTCTTTCTCACTCCCTTGCTCGAAAGCCCAACTGCCTACGGTGGCTTCCCGTTCTCTTTTTCTTGATCACTTCCACTCTCATTCTCATGCCATCGCTGTGTACACAGATGGCTCTAAGTCTTCAGATGGCGTTGGATTCACAGCAGTGTTTCCGGACAGCGTCGTGCGGGGGCATTTACTATCTTCGGCTAGCATTTTTACTGCTGAATTGTATGCCATTCTTGCAGCACTTGTTCGTATCGCATCTATGCCTGTGTCATCATTTGTGGTAGTCTCAGACTCCCGTAGTGCTCTACAGGCTATACGAAAATTTGATACATCTCACCCCCTAGTTCTCCGTATCCAACTTTGGCTACGCCGTATCTCTACCAAGCATAAAGATATTATTTTTTGTTGGGTCCCTGGTCATGTCGACATACAGGGCAATGAACAGGCAGACACTGCTGCGCGGTCAGCAGTACATGATCTACCAATTTCATATAGAGGTGTTCCATTTCTGGACTATTTTGCTGTAATAGCTACCCACCTTCACACCCGTTGGCAACAACATTGGTCAACTCTGCTCGGTAACAAACTTCATTCTATTAAACCGAGCATAGGTTACTGGCCGTCTTCTTGTCATCAGTGCCGAGGTTGGGAGACTGCTCTCTCCCGCCTTCGCATTGGCCACACTCGTCTTATTCATGGGTATCTCATGGAGAGGCACCCTGTTCCTCTCTGTGAGCAGTGTGAAGTTCCCGTATTGATTAGCCACATTCTGTTAGACTGCCCTATCAACGAGCACGTAGAATTTACCTCCGTCGTTGTCTCCACTCTACTACTGTCTTTACCTTCCCTTCTTGCTGATGGACCCTCCTTTAATCCTGACTCTCTCATTGACTTCTTGACAATGACTGATTTACTCCACAAACTCTGATGATGATACCTTTCGTACTCCCCTCAGCCCTTTCTAGCTCAGTCTCTTGCTGCCCTTTACCCTTTCACCATCCACTGCCCCGCTGTTCTCCGTAACCTATTGCTCATCCATCTCCCTTTTGCCACCTGATGCCCTCGCTTCCTTCCTGCCCTGCAGCGCTGTATAGCCCTTGTGGCTTAGCGCTTCTTTTTGATTATAATAATAATAATTTAGCTGTGTACAACTCAGTTAACTGTAGCTATATATGCTGTTTGATAGCTGTAACCAAATTTTTTAACACAGACCATCTCATAAAAAGTTAGGGTGGCCAAAAAAAAAAAAAAAATCACCATTGCTCATGCAATAGCTATCTTGCTGGAAGTATGCAGACATCTCACTTCAAATGTTTCTTTAAATTATAACATCCTCACCCTTCCTTCAGAGTCCAGGCAGTTTTACTTCCCATCTCTACCCGTCCTTCAGAGTGTAGGCAATTGTACTTCCAACTTCCAGGACTCTGACTAACCTATTTCTTTGAGTCCTTTCATAAATGTTAGCTTGCTCACACTTTAGCAGCATGTCAAGCCATAAAAGACACTCATCTCCTTTCACTCCTGTCTAACATACTCACACAAGCCTGCTGGATCCTCAGATCCCTAGCACTCAAAACCTCCTTTACCCCCATTCCCTTAACCTTTTTGGGATGACCCCAATCCCTCCTTTCTTCCTCCCCAGATTTAATTACCCTCTTGGTCATTCTATTCTCTATCTTTAACCCTTTCAGGGTCCGTCCCGTAGATCTACGGCTTTACGTTCAGGGTCCAAACCGTAGATCTACGCCATGAGCTCAGCTCACTCTGATAAACTACGAGTGGTACATTTGGGCCTAGATATGAGAGAATACATCTATGTGGTATATGTGCACCACATAAAACAGATCCTGCAGCACACTGTGTATAATGAGAGAAAAAAATTGAAATCATGATTTTTCGATTAAAACAGCATCTTTGCAGTGTTTTTTCGTATGTTTTTTATAGTTGTATTTGCGATTTCTTGGTCTCATTTGATAGAATGGAAGACATATTACAGAAATAGAGATGATTTTGATTGGTTTTACCACTGGAAATGGCTTGAAACTGAGCTCAAAGTAGCAGAAATGTTAAATTTTTGCCGATATTCAAGAGTAAACAAACAACCTCACACGTCTAATACACACCAGCTGGTGGGTCTAATATACATTCACAAATATGGTGATGATATTTATACAATTATTACAGTATTGCATAACAGTAAATCTTCTATTTTTTGGTGTGAATAAAAATTCATTATGTGAATAAAAAATCAAAATGGAATTTATTTGTAAAGCCTCAAAACATAACTAATGAACAGAGGAAATGTTAGTTTAGTGCTAGGAATGCCTACATTATTCATTCTGGACCCTATTTTGAAATTGGAATATTTTGAACTTTGTGTTAAATTGGCCAAATTAACAATTTCCGATCACGTTATTTTGTAGTTGAAACAGTTGACTTGGCAATTTCTTGTGCTCAGTCGATAGAATAGAAGTAATACTAGTGAAATAGCTAAGAATTTGGTTGATTGGAATAATGTAATTGGCCTAAAATGGGAGTCAAAGTCGGCAAAATCGCCGATTCATCAATATCACTGACACATCAAAATTCGCGAGAGCATAATTTCGTCAATTTTCCACCAAATTTCGTACTTTTTGTTTTATTACCTTCACAAAAAGATTCTCTACGATTTCATAAGAAAAAATAACAAATTTTTTTTTTGAAAATTCTTGGACACTGGTGCGTGACTCCAGATTTGGGCCTTGGACCCTGAAAGGGTTAACCCTTTCAGGGTTCGGAGGCCAAATTTCAAAGGGTGCACCAGTGTCCAAGAATTTAAAAAAAATTTTTGTTATTTTTTCTTATGAAATGGTAGAGAATCTTTTTCTGAAAGTAATAAAACAAAAAGTATGAAATTTGATGGAAAATTGACGAAATTATGCTCGTGAATTTTGATGTGTCAGCGATATTTACGCATCCGCGATTTTGCCGACTTTGACTTCCATTACATTATTACATTATTCCAGTCGACCAAATTCTTAGCTATTTCACTAGTATTACCTCTATTCTATCGATTGAGCACGAGAATTTGCCAAGTCAACTGTTTCAACTACAAAATAAAGTGATCGGAAATTGGTAATTTTGCCAATTTAATGCAAAGTTCAAAATGCTCCAATTTCAAAATAGGATCCAGAATAAACAATGCATGCATTCCTGGCACTAAACTAACATTTCCTCTGTTCATTAGTTACGTTTTCAGGCTTTGCTAATGAATTCCATTTTGATTTTTTATTAACATAATGAATTTTTATTCAAACCAAAAATAGAAGATTTACTGTTATGCAATATTGTAATAATTGTATAAATAATATCAGCACATTTGTGAACGTATATTAGACCCACCAGCAGGCGTGTATTAGACATGTGAGGCAAAAATTTAAAATTTCTGCTACTTTGAGCTCAGTTTCAAGCCATTTCCAGTACTAAAACCAATCAAAATCATATCTATTTCTATCAAATGAGACCAAGAAATCGCAAATACAACTATAAAAAACATACGAAAAAACACTGCAAAGTCGCTGTTTTAATAAAAAATTACAGTCTCAGTTTTTTCTCTCATTATGCAATATGTGCTGCAGGATTTGTTTTATGTGGTGCACACATACCAAATAGATGTATTCTCTCATATCAAGGCCAAAATTTACTGCTCACAGCTTATCAGAGTGAGGTGAGCTCATGACATAGCTCTACGGTTCGGACCCTCAACGTAAAGCCGTAGATCTATGGCACAGACCCTCAAGGGGTTAAATGTCCAGACCCCCTCAACACCTCTTCAGCCTTGTAAATAATATAGTAACCCCACCCCGTCTCCTAATTTCTACACTCACTACAAATTCTAAGCATGATGTTCATACCACACTGTTCTCAAAGATGTCATGTCCACTACCCTCTTGTTTGTTGCAATGTTTAAATCCTATGCATTGCAACCATATAAAAGTATTGGCACCTTTATATTCTGACACATTCCCTTTTTTGCAACCAGATAAACTTTTCTTTGTACAGATGTTGCCTCATCCCCCTATCTTTCTTCTCCTCATCTATTCTGTGGGTCACCTTGTATTTCATAGACCCATATAGCAACATATCCACTACCAGATATCTAATTTCATTCACTCCCTCAATACTCCCTCATTCAGATCTAACATCCAGCTTTCATTGCCTAGACTTTTTGTTACTCTCATCACCCTACTCTTGTCTATATTAATTTTTAATTCCTTTTTACATACCCTTTCAAACTCCTCCCGAGTTTTATGTACCATCAGTTATGTGATAGTTATCTGATAGTGTATTGCCACTTTTAACTGATAGTGTATACTCAGCAGTTAACTACTAGTGTGTGTAGTTAAGTGATAATGTATATAGTTAACTAGTCTAAGAATGTATATGGTAAACTGATGGTGTTTGTAGTTATACTTAGCTGAGTGCATACACTTTGTTTATATACACTCAGTTAACTATATTCATTATCACTTTATATACATTGTTAAATTTATGTGCAATTAACTGCAGTATACTCTTAATTTATATATGTTAACTATACATGCTAACAGTAAACTATACACACACTATCAAGTGTTTATAATGTTTATCAGTTAACATGTATAAACTGCATCAGTAAACTGTGTTTAATAGCTGCAGCAATAGTTTTCTTTTTTTTTTTTTACACATCATCTATTTCCCACCAAGGAAGGGTGACCCAAAGAAGAAAAAACATTTTCATCATCACTTACCCCATCCCTCAACCTACACACAGGAGAAAGAAACTTACGATGTTCTTTCTCCTGTATGCGGGTTATTTGTGTATTGTTCTGGTCACAATATTGTGACTTTGTTCTCTAGGTTTATGATGCATTGGTTATGGCTTTCTAAAGTCTTTGACCATCATCAGGTTCTGCACATGAGTGTTCCTATGGATGATGAGTCTGTGCATGAACTAACCTTGGACACCAGACCCTCTCATCATTTCTCAATGGATAATGTATCTTATATCACCAAGCAGCAGTGTAAGTTCTGTTTTAGTTTTACATACATATACAATTATTAATCTGTGGATTATAGTATTATATATATATAAATTTTTCAATTACAGTATTAATCATTTTGAATTATATTTATCTTGCTATTATTAATAGATTTGAATTACAGTACATGTATATGCATTTTCTTTCTTTCAACAAACTGGCCGTATCCCACCGAGGCAGGGTGGCCCAAAAAGAAAACTGAAAGTTTCTCTTTTTAAATTTAGTAATTTGTACAGGAGAAGGGGTTACTAGCCCCTTGCTTCTGGCATTTTAGCTGCCTCTTACGACATGCATGGCTTACAGAGGAAAGATTCTTGTCCACTTACCCTTGGTGAATACAAATGAAAAACATAAATTTATAAATCCTGTACATTGCTGAATATTACTTTCAGTGAGTGATGACGAGAGCAGTGGTAGCAGCAGGGAGGTGGAAGGTGTCATGGAGGATGATCCAAGCATCTCAGGAATATTACACCACCATGACAAGACGGTGGGAATAGATTGGGATGCTCCACCTGGTCAGCGTCACCTCCAACACATAACTGCAATGGCTTCTGCAACTCCAGGTGGCAGAAATCCAGCTTACGAACATTTTGCCGACGATGAAGACGGCGGTGAAGGACCGCTTAGTGTCAGTACCACTAATGAAAATGTCATGTTTGGTCGACGAGGTCTAACAGACCCTTCACCTGTCCAGACTACTACTGAACTTTAGAACGTAAGAAAATGAACACATGGTATCAACACATATCTAGTGCTTGCTTGGCAAGTTACGAAGCTCAGTGGTTTATGAAACATGCCTAATGATATTCCTAGCATTTACAGATTGTGTACAAAACCCAGAAGGGTCATACAGTTCCTGGGAAATGGGAGGTAAGCAGATTTGATCTGAAGAAGGGTTGGGTAGTTCCTATTCCTTGAGTCAAGAACCTTTCACTGGTATTAACAGTAGTACTGACAAAGCTTCTGGATTTTTTAATTCTCTTAATGTCAAAAATCCAAGGAAAGATGGCACGAAGGGTTTCTTGATGAAGGTTAAAGATTTTTCAACTAAAGACTGCAAGTTGCCCTTACCTTGCCTGGATAAAATCTGATTACCTCTCATTACTCAGGTACTTTTACTCCCTAATAGTGCTTCCTGTGAATAAAATAAGCATCAGTTTAAGACACTGGGCAATAAAAAGAAAAAAATGTACATTCAGCTGCTGAGTTAAGATAGAACATTAAACAGAATACACGTTGTCTTCAGATTTAAAGTGAAAGTGAGAAACCATTTGAAGAGAAGTAGCTAACACAGGTACAAGAGATGTGTATGTTTCAGTTTAAGCCAGAAACCCTCTTCAGCATATGTACATGTTACAGAAGGAATATTTTTTTTTTTTTTTTAACATCCTGGCCATCTCCTACCGAGGTAGGGTGACCCAAAAAAGAAACATTTTTGCCATCATTCACACTGTCACACTCTTGTTATGGTAGAGCAAAGACATTTACACCAGAGCAAAAATGCTACATTATCATGCATACAGGTGCCCTGAGGTCAGTTCAGGGTGGTGGAGATGAAAGTCAAGTGATAAGAGAGGGCAGGCCCCTGTATCTGGGAACCAAATTGATGGACATTGTGTGTGATGAGCTTTGCTAATGTATATATTCCTCTGTTTTGCTCTGTGGTTTTGGTCAGGTAGATAGTAAGTGCTTCAAGACATCAACATTTTGGTTTGTAGTTTTCATATATCAGTTGTGTTCTCCTTTGATCCATGAGGTAAAAATTCAGGTTACAATAAACCACATAGGTGTTGCTGGTGTCATCCATTCTGCATGCATACATTTTTTCCTGAAGGTGTTTCTGCAGGTCTTGGGCTAACTCCACATGGAATGCTATAAACTCCCACTGAGCCTGAAATCTGCAGACATGCTTTCAGGCACATATGCATGCATGCATAATCTGTGGCACCAACAGTGTTTGTGGTAGCTGTTGTAAATTGCACAACTGATATACAATGAAAATTACAGGGCGAAACAAAAATGGCTCGAGGCATATACTATCCATCTCGCCAAAACCATAGACCAAGACGGAAATCCACTGTATACATTAGCAAAGGCATCCCTCATGCTGTCCAGAATCAACACATAAAACCTATAACCCAACTTGATGCCCAGATATGGATCCCCTTCTCTCTTTTAATATCACCTGACTTTAATCTCCACAACCTCGCCTCAGCGTGCATGTATGCATCATAAGGCGATGTTTTTGCTTATTTCTGTGTGCCCAATAAAGCCACACTGTGGCTGAAGCATTATAGAGTAAAGATTTTCCTGGCAAAAAACATCTTTGAAATTAACACCTATTTGTTTATGCTAATGCCTAACCTACTTTTCTGCAAGTTACTAAGTGTCTACATATTGTTAATACTATGTCATGAAGTGACAATTTTCTGGGTGCACCTTCAGCAGACAGTATTTGTTCATGGCTTATTACATGTACTGTATGTATTGTGAGGTGCATATAGGTGTAGTTATCATAAGCTAACTCTCCTAACTCGAACCATTAATATTAGTGGCTGCCTGGGAGAAACATTTGGTATAACTTGGGATATGCCAGATGTCTCCCAGTCAGCCTGTAATACTAATGTTGGGAAGAGTTATTTTATAATTGGTTAAATGTGCCAAATAATACACACACATGTAATAAGCAACACAATTTAAATAATATTGTCAAGAGTTACCATCATAATGCATCAAGGCAATTTACTTTGGCCTATTTCACAACTGTGACCGATGTGAAGCTTAAACATCTGTATGTGCTGAAGGCAATCTATAACACTATAACAAGAATACCATAACACTATAACAAGAATATATTTAAGCACCTCCCATATTATAAATGGGTGCCTCTGCAAAGACACTGACTGTGTGAACGATGGTGAAAGTGTTTCTTTTTTGGGTCACCTTGCCTCGGTGGGAGATGGCCGATGTGTTAAAAAAAAAAACACACACACATGCGTCTTATTTATCACATCGAAAAACTTTTTTGATATCAACACAAATCATAAACTTTGATCTTGAACTTGGTGCCAAGTATTCAAGATATTTCTACTGTAGACCCAATAGTTTTTTTTACAAAACAGTATATATCATAAACCACTAAGGTGTGCTTGTCACATTTCAAAATAATTATTACATTGTAATGTTTATTTCCAGTGTTTAAGTCTGCCTTCCAACCCAAGTTTTAACATAAAATGCCATGGTTTACATAGTCTTTTGCAGTTGTAACACATTTTAACCTCATCTGTTTATCCCACTTCTGCTATAGTTTTATTGACATTTGTATAAACTTTTAATCGTATGGATTGCCTTGGTCATTACATTCATAATTCATCTTTCATTATTCTCAGCTTTTTCTGTACAAATAAAACTGATATCCTCTTAATGCTCTGATAATTTAAGTGTTGAATTTTTGTATATACAATATTTACATGCGTGCATGTATGTACTTATATGTGTGTGCGTGTGTATATGTATAGAAGTAGCTGCTTTTATAGTAAATTTTCTTTTTTTAACAAGTTTTATTAATGACCTCATGAGAGAACAGTATTATCACACACAGTCATGTGAATGGCAGTCATAACCTTGGTATACATTTAGTTGTGGAGACAATTCTGAAATAGCTTTCAGTTATAGACGAATTTCAAGCATTTCAAAGAGTACAGGAGGGCCCTGGCTTACAAATTGTACGTAAATTTAAATAATTTTTCTTACAAAAACTAACAGTTCAAAGGACAGTCATAGGCAGACATATTTTCTCAATATGTCTTTTAAACCATGTTTATAAGTGTGGATCATTGTAAGTACGTAAGGCATTTGTAAGTCAGGGACACACAGTACAAGAAGCTACACTCTCAGCATTCAAAAATGTACAGTAACTCCTTAAGTTGTGGAATCTACCAGTACTCTACATTATTTTACCAAGGATTTTTTTTTTAAACAAACTGGCATATCCCACCGAGGCAGGGTGACCTAAAAAGAAAAATGAAAGTGTCTTTTTAAGTTTAGTAATTATATGGGAGAATGAGTTACTAGCCCCTTGCTCCTGGCATTTTAGTCACCTCCTCTGATACACATGGTACCAAGGATTTTTACAAAGATTAAACAGTGATGAATGGGACATCATACGAGCTGAAAATAAAAATTTGAATATACGGCATTTTTATTGAAGGGCATTCACTGAATATTATTTATGAAGGTATTCTGCAAAACCAGTTAGATGGACTTCAAGGTGAGAAATATAGTGCCTGCACTCTGGGAGGAAGGTGTAGTTGCTGCAGTTTGAAGAAACACTTTGCAAAGAAATAAAAAAAATTTAATATTTTTTTATTTGAATTGCAGTGTCTGTGCACTTCTGGCATGAAGGCTATTGAATGAATGATGGTGAATGTACAGTGGACCCCCGGTTTATGATATTATTTCATTCCAGAAGTATGTTCAGGTGCCAGTACTGACCGAATTTGTTCCCATAAGGAATATTGTGAATTAGATTAGTCCATTTCAGACCCCCAAACATACACATACAAACGCACTTACATAAATACACTTACATAATTGGTTGCATTGGGAGCTGATCGTAAACCGGGGGTCCACTGTATTTCCTTTTTGGGAGAAGGTCACCCTACTTTTGTGGGAGATGGATTGTTAAAAACAATATTAGTAATAATAAATGAATTACACCTGATACAAAACTGGATTCCATTTATTATTACCTATGTTAAGCCCCTGATTATGCAGAGCATAACCAAAAGAACTATATTAGAGGCCAGGATCAACTGTGACAACTTCCATTTTGTATCAGATTCATTATCTTTTAGTCCCATACCTCACTAAACACCCTAGCATGCACTTCTTTTATTACACCATTGATAAATATTTTATCTTGAACAACCATGGTGGCATAACACATCCCTGTGGTGGAACAGTTCTCCTCTCTCATACATATCCTGATTTGAGCCTCACTCTCTGCATAAAAGCTCTTTACTACCTTCAGCAGTCTACCTTATCTTGTCTCTTGCCACCTAGTCCATACATATGGTGGATTGGAGAATAATGTTGCCTATCACAGTACAGTGGACCCCCGACATTTGATGGCATCGACATTCGATAAATCCGACATTCGATGCATTTTAACGCAAAAATTTCGCCTCGACATTCGATGGAAAACCCGACATTCGATACGATTCGTACGAGACGTGTCCACGTGTGGCCTGAACTGCCCCGTGTGTGCCAGTGTTTACAAGCCAGCCAGTGTGCGTGCATCTAAGGATACATTCGGTACATTCCATATTATCACTGTTTTTGGTGCTTGTTTCTGCAAAATAAGTAACCATGGGCTCCCAAGAAAGCTTCTAGTGCCAACCCTTCGAGAAAAAAGGTGCTAATGACTATTGAAATGACGAAAGAGATAATTGCAAAGTATGAAAGTGGAGTGCGTGTGTCAGAGTGCATGATGATTTGGTAAAGAAATTGCCTTCAACTAGTGGTAATGTGAGTGAATTTAAGGCCAGCAAAGGTTGGTTTGAAAGATTTAAGAATCGTAGTGGCATACACAGTGTGGTAAGGCATGGTGAGGCTCCCAGTTCAAGTCCTAATGGAAGGCGATTCCCCTTCTAAACACTAACACCATCCACACACTTCCCTCCTCCCATCTCATCAATCATCACCAGATCTTCATTAAAGGTAAGTGTCAATTATTCTATTGTTATTAATCTATTGTTATTGTTGTTATTGTAATTATTCTATTGCATTCAACTTAATATTTCATGTGGTAAAATTTTTTTTTCCATATTTTTGAGTGTCTTGCACGGATTAATTTGATTTCCATTATTTTTTATGGGGAAAATTAATTCGACTTTCGATATTTTTGACATTCGATAGCTTTCAGGAACGGATTAGTATCGAATGTCGAGGGTCCACTGTATTATATATACGTACTTATAAATAACAGCAAAATTAGGCAGTCTTGTTCTTGCTTATAATTACTTATGGTTTTCAAGTACAGTGGAATCTCGGCTTACAAATGCCCCACCATGCAAATTTTTCAGGGTATGAACGGTCGCTCGGTCAATTTTTTGCTTCTGGATATGAACAAAATTTCAGGATGCAAACTTTCCCCTCAAGGAAGGTTCCTTGGTGAGGGGCTCTTGATCTAGGGAACTGGAGCACAGATCCAGTTCCCTAAATTAATAATAATTATTATTATTTTAATAATACATACATACTACTAATAATAATATAATACGTATTATAAGAGTTTTTACGAGGATAGTGAGGCTCAGGTTAGAGTATGTAGGGGAGAGGGAGATTATTTCGCAGTAAAAGTAGGCCGTAGACAAGGATGTGTCATGTCACCTTGGTTGTTCAATATATATACAGATGGGGTCGTAAGAGAAGTGAATGCTAGGGTCTTGGCAAGAGGTGTGGAGTTAAAAGATACAGAATCAAACACAAAGTGGGAGTTGTCACAGTTGCTCTTGACTGATGACTCATTGCTTTTGGGAGATTCTGAAGAGAAGTTGCAGAGGTTGGTGGATGAATTTGGTAGGGTATGTAAAAGAAGAAAATTAAAAGTGAATATAGGAAAGAGTAACGTTATGAGGATAACAAAAAGATTAGGTGACAAAAGACTGGATATCAGATTGGAGGGAGAGAGTATGGAGGAGGTGAATGTATTCAGATATTTAGGAGTGGACGTGTCAGCAGATGGGTCTATGAAGGATGAGGTGAATCACAGAACTGATGAGGGAAAAAGGGTGAGTGGTGCACTTAGGAGTCTATGGAGACAAAGAACTTTGTCCGTAGAAGCAAAAAGGGGAATGTATGAGAGTATAATTGTACCAACACTCTTGTATGGGTGTGAAGCATGGGTGATGAATGTTACAATGAGAAGACTGGAGGCAGTGGAGATGTCATGTCTGAGGGCAATGTGTAGTGTGAATATAATGCAGAGAATTCGTAGTTTGGAAATTAGGAGGTGTGGGATTACCAAAGCTATTATCCAGAGGGCTGAGGAGGGGTTATTGAGGTGGTTCGGACATGTAGAGAGAATGGAATAAAACAGAATGACTTCGAGAGTGTATAAATCTGTAGTGGAGGGAAGGCGGGGTAGGGGATGGAGGGAGTTGGTAAAGGAGGTTTTGTGTGCGAGGGGCTTGGATTTCCAGCAAGCGTGCATGAGCGTATTTGAAAGGAGTGAATGGAGACAAATGGTTTTTAATACATGATGTGTTGTTGAGTGTGAGCAAAGTAACATTTATGAAGGGATTCAGGGAAACCGGTGGGCTGGACTCGAGTCCTGGAGATGGGAAGTACAGTGTCTACATTCTGAAGGAGGGGTGTTAATGCTGCAGTTTTATAACTGTAGTGTAAAGCACCCCTCTGGCAAGACAGTGATGGAATGAATGATGATGAAAGTTTTTCTTTTTCGGGCCACCCTGCCTTGGTGGGAATTGGCCGATGTGCTAATAAAAAATAATAATTACATGTATATAATAATGTAATAGTATAGTTATAATAATACGTACTATAATAACAAGTGAGCTTCAAAAAACTGTCACTAGATGGCAGTGAGTACCACAACAATGCGGGAGTGGGAATGGCCGCCTCCCCTTGTCACATAATGACATTTTATTCATTCTAGAGTATATATTAGGTTTCTGTGTTATTTATAGTGTTTATTATGTCATATTAGATGAACTGTGATAGATAAATAAGCCATAGAGTTGATATTAGCATCCTGTCTCCATGTCAGTAGTACTGTAGTAGTATTTCAGTTATAACCGTTACAGTCACTGCATTCCTACATTTAAGACCGTTAGTGATTCACCAACCGTTAGTGACTCTCTGCTGATCTAGCATGATGTCACGAGCTCTCCGTGCCCTTCAGGCACTTGGGGAGGTAGTTCAACTCAAGACAGAGTAGAGTGAGGTCAGGCTCTGGTACTTACTCCCGTGGTACCATAATTACAAGTTATTAAGCCATCCATCATGTGTGTTATTCCCAAATCCATTCAATTGAACCTTACAACATCCAACCAATAAACTCTCCTCTACCGCTGCCACCACCATGTAGTCACATACGTAATGACATTCTATTCATTCTAGAGTATATATCAGGTTTCTATGTTATTTATATTGTTTATTATGTCATATTAGATAAGTTGCAATAGATAAATAAGCCGTAGAGTTGATATTAGCATCATACTCAAGTATTTTGTCCTGCCTCCTGAGAGCAGGAATTCCTCTGGAATGGATTAATGCCATTTCAGTTCATTTAAATGAGGAAAATAGACTCAGCATATGAACAAGGTCATGGAACGGATTAAATTCATAAGCTGAGGTTCCACTGTACAGTGGAACCTTGGTTGTCAAACTAGTCCAACAAATCAGTTTTCGAACCTACGTATTTGTTTGATTTGGTTTTCATACGTGGTCTTGGTTCTCAACCGGTAACACTTATATCACTTGATCACCATAATCCACAGCGTGGGTCTCAGTCAGTCTAGGGACTAACACACGTGCTGTACACATCTCTTGAGCTTTTGCTGTGCATCTCGTGAAGGTAATGAAACCAAAAGTACGAATTTGATGGAAAACTTATGGAATTACGCTATCGCAAAATTAGCGCTCTCAGCGATACTTATGCATCAGTGCTTTCACCTACTTTGAGCCCTATTTTGGGCCAATTCCATTGTTCCAGTTGACCAAACTGCCCATTTACCTATTTCAACTACCCAGTAAAGTGATCTGAAATTACTAATTTGGACAATTTCACACAAAATTCAAGAAAGGCCAATTTCAAAATAGGGTCTAGCGTAAATAATGCAGACATTCCTGGTACTAAAATAACAATTTATCTGTTCATTAGTCATGCCTCCAGCCCCCTCCTGTATTACGCCTGTTTTCATTTTGAATTTTTATTCACAAAAAATAAAAGATATGTTATCCAGATAAGGCTAAAGAGGTCTTTGTGGCATTTATGGATTTGGAAAAGGCGTATGACAGGGTGGATAGGGGGGCAATGTGGCAGATGTTGCAAGTGTATGGTGTAGGAGGTAGGTTACTGAAAGCAGTGAAGAGTTTTTACGAAGATAGTGAGGCTCAAGTTAGAGTATGTAGGAAAGCGGGAAATTTTTTCCCAGTAAAAGTAGGCCTTAGACAAGGATGTGTGATGTCACCGTGGTTGTTTAATATATTTATAGATGGGGTTGTAAGAGAAGTAAATGCGAGGGTCTTGGCAAGAGGCGTGGAGTTAAAAGATAAAGAATCACACACAAAGTGGGAGTTGTCACAGCTGCTCTTTGCTGATGACACTGTGCTCTTGGGAGATTCTGAAGAGAAGTTGCAGAGATTGGCGGATGAATTTGGTAGGGTGTGCAAAAGAAGAAAATTAAAGGTGAATACAGGAAAGAGTAAGGTTATGAGGATAACAAAAAGATTAGGTGATGAAAGATTGGATATCAGATTGGAGGGAGAGAGTATGGAAGAGGTGAACGTACTCAGATATTTGGGAGTGGACGTGTCAGCGGATGGGTCTATGAAAGATGAGGTGAATCGTAGAATTGATGAG